CTTAAAACAGGAAAAAAAAATAGTGTCTTATAGTCATGAAAATCGAGACATGTTACTTCAAATGACACATACATGACACAGGCTCCCAATGTAAGCCAGGAAGAAATGAGCCACATCTCAAATCACTGAAATGTCCTTCCTAGACTAGTCTTGAAACAAGAAAAAAAAAGATTAATTAAAAATAGAACCCTGAAGTTCTAAGTTGTATAAAATGTGTGGATGTATCGTCCCTGATGGGGTTATTTTCCAAATGCCAATGGTTCAGATTGCACGTGAATGACTGTGTTTTTGTGACATCACTAGATATTTGTCTCTATTGTCTTTATTTCTTATGTTTTTAATATGTTGTATTCATGAAACATTAAAGGATTGGGCAATAAAAGCGGGCTAAGTGGTAGCATTATCAATTAGTAGTATTGAAAGGGCCTGTGCACACACGGGCATGTTTACATTCCTTGCTCGATTCTGAAAACGTCACTGATTTAAATTTTTTCTTTGATTGTATTTAATGGGTATAAAGTGTCACTTTTGTGTAACAAATAGTTCTGGATATTGGTTGCTCAGTCATGCAGCACATCCTGGGTCACTTATTTTTTAAAAAAAAAAATACAACTTCTGTAAAATGCAGCTAATGTCTTGAGTCTGCTTGGAAAGCATTTGGGTAGCCAACACCTCATTAATAAGGACATTGGGTTGGGTTGGGTTGGGCATTGCTAGGAATAGAACATGGAACCTGGTCATGGTAGACCAGCATTCTACCACTGAGATACCCCGTGTCTGTGTTAATAATAATAATTCACGCCTTTAATCCCAGCACTCGGGAGGCAGAGCCAGGCGGATCTCTGTGAGTTTGAGGCCAGTCTGGTCTACAGAGTGAGATCCAGGACAGGCACCAAAGCAACACAGAGAAACCCTGTCTCGAAAAAACAAAATAATAATAATAATAATAATAATAATAATAATAATAATTCTCAAGAATTTCATACTGTAGCCTCTTTAAAGGGAAAAAGAAAGAAGTGCTGAATGTGCCCATAGACTGTGTTCATAAGGAGACTTAAGCAGTAACCCACTAAGCAGCATTTCTGACGTCTGCATTCTCCAGAGGAAAAGGGGAACGAGGTGGTACCTCAAGGTACTGAAAGCCCCATCTTTCTTCTAGACCATCCAGATGTGAGATCCAGGTGTGAACACCACCCTCCTGCAGCTTGGCTAGGTTACCAGGGCTGTAGCATAGCCAAGCAGGATCTCCCACTGAGAGGAATGAACAAGTCCAGGGGTAGAAGCTTCTGTTTAATCTACCTCTTCTCTCCCTCAGTCATTCTTCCCCAGGAAAGCACAGAAGATTCCTGCTAGGTATTGCTAAAGCTGTACTCTCTGGCTTTCTGGAATGTTCTGCCCCATATGAAAACTCATACACAGGTGGTGAAATACCATTCAGCCTGCTTACCACCCAGATGGAACATGGTGACTGTTTTTGACATCTCCCAGAGATAGGGAGTGATATGACACAGTGGTTAAGATGGGACTCCGAAAGCAGTTGGCCTGAATTTGTCCGTGAAATCCACCCCATCACCACCTACAGTCACTTCAGCCTCCCATGCACTGGGATTACAGGCATGCGTCACAAGATCCAGATTTAAAAAAAAAAAAAAACTCAAAATTTAGCCGGGTGTGGTGATGCACACCTTTAATCCCAGCACTGGGAAGGCAGAGGCAGGCAGATCTCTGGGTTTGAGGCCAGCCTGGTCTACAAAGTAAGTTCCAGGACAGCCAAAGCTATTACACAGAGAAACTCTGTCTTGAAAAACTAAAAAAACAAAATGAAACAAAAACCCTTACAAGTTGTGATACTGAATGTAAACATACACATATTCACAAGCACACAGTGTGATATTAGACGTGACTATACATGGTAAATCGTCCCTTTCTCTCATCATCTTCCTTTGCTTTCTCTGGGAAGCAGGAAAAGGCCTCTCAGGAAGATTAGATGGTCATGCTGGGATTGTGCTAACTGAGGGCAAGGGCTGGTTCTGCTGGGGTAAGACTGGGTTAAATGAAGTCCATGATGGCAGGCTGTATGTAGATCACGTCTTTACTGTACTTAGAGCTGCAAAATTCTTCAGGCCATGCTGGCACAGGCCTTTAATCCCAGCACTCAGGAGGCAGAGACAGGTGGATCTCTGTGAGTTCGAGGTCAGCCTGGTCTACAAAGTGAGTTTGAAGACAGCCAGGGCTATTACACAGAGAAACTCTGGTGTGTGTGTGTGTGTGTGTGTGTGTGTGTGTGTGTGTGTGTGTGAGAGAGAGAGAGAGAGAGAGAGAGAGAGAGAGAGAGAGAGAGAGAGAACTGCAATATTCTGAAGTTAGTTGTCTTAGTTAAGAGATACCATGACAACAGAAACTCTTACAAAGAAAATATTTAATTGGGGTGGCTCACTTACAAGTTCAGAGGCTTAGTTCATTATCGTCATGACGGGGAGCATAGCAGAATGCAGGCAGACGTGGTGTAGGAGTAGTAGCTGAGAGTGCTATATCCTACAGGCAACAGGAAATTGACTGAGACACTGGGCGGTATCCTGAGCATAGGAAAGCCCGCCCCCACAGTGACACACTTCCTCCAACAAGGCCATACCCACTCCAACAAAGCCACACCTCCTATAGTGCCCCTCCCTGTGAGATTATGGGACCAGTTGCATTCAAACTACCATATTAGTGGAGTTGGGATAAGAATTTTGATCTCTGCTGCTATATGAGGGCTCTTTTCCTGATTGTTGGTGTAGGGGATAAAACCCAGAACCTTGCACATGGTAGGCAAATACACTATCACTGAGCTATGTCCCCATGTCCTCACAGCTTTGGAGGAAGATGTGTTTTCATTGTTTTTCGTGTTTTCTTTTAAACACATCCTTGACTTCCTGGAAAGTCAGAGAGGCTGACTGAGAGACTGGGAAAGGCAGCTGTACAGACAGTGACATCTCCTTTGTGTCTGTGACTTGGACCACAGTCTGACCTTTCCTCCTCCAGATGAAGGGGTGAGAGGTGACAGCTCCATGCCCAGTGGACACTCAGCCTGGCAGCTGATGACACTGGCTGCCCCAGGGTCATAGCCTGTGATGATTTTCCTCTTACAGGCTGACACACTATTATGAATGCAAAGCCTATTAACTCTATTCCAGAAAGGAGAATGTGAGGCCTCAAGAGAGCAAGCAAGGCCAGCTGAGGAAACTCACAATGCAACTGCAGATGAGGTCATGGCTAGGCCCCAGTGCTGGTGACAAGGAGGGGTCAGGGGGTCTGAGGCATTGCATGGGAACCGTCTCATTAAGAGTCTTCCAGCTGAATGTTGCAGAGTGCCCTGCCAGCCCGATATAGTTAATGAATTGCTTAGGACAAGAAGAAACAGGGAGGAGATAAAGGCAGAGTGGATTGCCTGTCTTTATCCTGGGTCTCCTTCCTTCACACTGGTACAGCTTCTCCAGTTCACTAATGGGTGGAATGCAGTAGGGTCATATGCGGACAAGACAGTGTTGGTTCTCAGTGCTGGGTTCATAGCTGAAGAGTCCCAATGAGCAAGGGGAAATTCCCAATGGTTAAAGATACTTCTATGGACCAGCTATGAGGACACATCCCCATAACCTCAGGACTTAATAGGCTGAGTCAGAAGGATTGTGATTTCAAGGCTAACCTGGGCTACATAGCAGGATCATATCTATTGAAAAGAAATCAGTGACTGGGAATATAAGGTGTAGCTGAGTTGTCACATGCTTGCCCAGGATGTGCAAGCCCCTGAGTCCCATCCCAAGCACTACAGAAAGGAAAGAAAGAACTGACTGAAGGAAGGGTAAGGGGAGGGGAGGGTGGGGAGAAAAGAGGAGGGAGGGAGGGGGAGATAAAAAAGATACCTCCCTGAGCCCTGCTAAGTAAGAGTTCATCAAGGGGCTTTGGGAGATTCTGGACTCGGCGCGAGTTGGAGCTGAACAAGTGAACTGGCCAACAGCTTCCAAGAGGCCTGAGGGAAGAGAAACCAGGCTAATGGGGGTTCTTATGAGTCGAAAGCTCCTCCTGTCTCTCCTTCACCACCCATCCGATCGTCCTGCGCTCATTCATCAGTCCATGCCCAGTCTGCAGTCAGTCCGCCCTGACCACCGAGCTCTGTGGCCATGAGGAGCTGTGTCCGTCCCTTATCTAGTTGCTGTAACAAAGACCTGACAGAAACACTTCAGGACAGAAGGGTTTATTGGGCTCACACTCAAAGGGAACAGTTTCGTATAGGAGAGCATTTATGGCGGAAGGAGCTTGAGGAAGCAGGCCTCTGTGCACCTACAGTCAGGAATCAGAGGGAGCTGGAGGCAGGCCCTCAGCTCGCTCCTTTTCCTTTTTGCACAGTCCTCTGGAACCTCAGCCCCTGGAGTGGTACCATCCACGTTTAGAGTGGGTCTTCCCACCTCTCTTAACCTAGGACTTCCTCACAGAAATGCCCAGAGGCCCGTCTCCCTTTTTCTAGATCATGTCAAGTTGACAAACAATATTAACCCTTACAGGTATACACAAAGTTGGGAACACGTTGGGGCACATGCCGCAGGCTGACTGAAGTAACTCTCTGCGGGCTCAGTGAGCCCAGCCATACAGCTGCTGGGTCAGTTGGAGCAGGTACCCAACGCTTGTGTGCAGACCAGCCTTACTCCCATAGCATGGCTGCCAAGCAAGGTCAGGAGTTAAGTAGCTGTTCAAAATAGAAAAAAAAGAAGGGACGATTCATCAAAAGAAACAGCTCTCGAGAGGCTAAGAGCGTTATGAAAGAGCAGGGCCATCAGAAGCGGAGAGTCGAGGGAATCCTCTGCCCTCTACTCCACCCCCGCCTCTCTCCTCACCGTGTGCCTCTCTTTCCCACACCTCTGGTGTGCTTGCTGAACTGCCAAAGAAGAAAGTTCAAAGCCGTCCCCGTTCTCCTGCCAACCACACCAGCCATCACTTCCAATCCATCTTCAGGTCCAGGGGTGCAGGGCTCCATTCATCTGCTTTTGCTTTCCTGAACGTGACTTTCTGCACATTCCACTTCTCTTCTTACTAGTCTGCAGAGGCTGTTTCGCTTTGCCCAAATTGGGACTGACTTCATGTTTTTTGCACAGTTTGGTTTCAGGATCAAGACAAAATGCCAGTGCCAGTGCTTAACAATGACAGACACAAGCACATGTTTGACCCCTGATTAAACTCTGCCTCCAGACTTTCTGGCCAAACCCACTTCTGTCAATAGCCAACATCAAGACTCTTCTAGATATCACACTAGGTTTCAGGAGACTGTTTGCAGATCTGTTCTGAGGTGTGAGGACTGTGCACAGAGAGCGTGTGTGCTGGACTATCTGCACAACTAGACTAGAAGCTGATGGATCATCGGCTGCAGTTCTGTTTATCCCAGAAACCATGTTGAAGACATACTCTCTTGTGTCCCTTGTGTGCACTTCTTGGCTCCACTTCCGGGAAGAGGCTTGCCTGACTGGCCAGCAAGCCCCAGAGGTCTGACAGTCTCCCTTTCCTCAGTGCTGAAATTACTGGTATGCACCACCATGCCTGGCATTTTTATGTGGTTTCTGGGAATCAAGCTCAGGTCCTCACACTCATAGGGCAAGCACTTTACTGATTGAGCCACCTACCCAGATCTTTATTGTCTTCTCTTAAAGCCCATGTTTTTCTCTACACATTCAGACTCGGTGCCCAGCAGTAAGAATTACAGTAGTTTTTCTTATTATATCATGAATACCTTGCAAAGCCCCCAGGATATGCTTAAAGCTACCAACAGTACCAAAGGCTATATACACCTTGTTTTTCCCTATGCATACACACCTATGATGTTTCACTGATAAATTAGGCACAATTAACAACCAGTAATAAAATGGAATAATGGTAACAATGTACTGTTATGAAAATTATGTGATATCTTGAAAGAGTTAAGGCAAGCAGGCACAGTAGCACATACCTGTCATCCCAGCACTAGGGTTTCTAAGACAAGAGGATTGTGAGTTTAAAGCCAGTGTGTGCTACCTGTGTCAAAAACAGAAAAAGTGAGGGAAAATGTTAATATTCTATTGTTATTGACTTTAGTATTTTATCGATATAAATTCATACTTACATTAGTGCCATAAGTGCTAGTATTTTATCAACCTAAGTTGTATTGATATCAATTTTTTTAGCTCATTGTTCACTGTGTATAATTGGAAACACAGGAAACAGAACTATGGATAATGAGAAACTACAGTGATTTTTCTTATCTTAACCATGTTGGTCTCAATCTCCCTATTTTATACTATTTAAAATTCTATAAACCTCTTGTAGATTTTTTTAAATGAATAGAGTGTAGGAAAATAATTAATTTTTTTGCATATTTTGTGTGTGCGTATGTGATCGTGCGTTTAAATGTGTGAGGGCAAACATATGCAGAGGTGCATGAGCACATGTGGAGGTCCAGTGTTGACAGCTGGTGTTTTTTGTTTTTGTTTTTTTCTCAATTACACTCTCCCTTATACATGAAGGCAAATTCTCTCACTGAGATGAGAATGTTGGGGTTTGTCTGGCTAGCCCCTTTGCTCCAGGGTGTTTGATCTTGGCCTCTTGTAGTCCGGGATTACAGGCAGGGCAGCACACCCAGGTTCTAGACATCTGAACTGTGATCCTCACACTTGCAAAGCCAGTGCTTGGCCCACTGAACCTCTAAAACAATAGATTTTATCCAGGCACACGTTTACCAAAATCTGGCCAAAACCACCAGTGTAAACACCTAACATCGGGTCTCACCCTGAATGTCCCATCTGTGTTGAGGTGACTGTTTATAAACCTGCTTCAGGAGGTGGCATGGTACAGTCTTCCATCACCTGCTCCTGCCCCTTTAATTGGCGTACCGGAAGACAGTGGGAAGGGTGCGCTGTCTTTGCGTAGCTGTTCTTGAGGAATAAATATCGTTCAGCTTTAAATTGGTCTTCCCTTCCAAGTCTCCTGGGGATCCAGTACTTGTGGACTTTTTCATTATTCTCCTGGCCTGGTGAGGGTGCATTCTTAATTGTATTAAAAATGACATCAGCAGCAGAGCAAAACGCATCTCTCCAGCACATGCAGCATGTACCTGCCAGCAAGCTGCAAGAGCTATCCACAGGGAAGATCCGTGGGGAGGGCACTCAGGGACCTTCCAAATTAAAATGCTGATAAACATTGAAAAGCCATGCAGTCTCTAGGCATATTGCTGGAGACCTTTCTCTCTCTCTCTCTCTCTCTCTCTCTCTCTCTCTCTCTCTCTCTCTCTCTCTCTCTCTCTCTCTCTCTCTCTCTCTTTCTCTCTTTCTCTCTCTCTTTCCCTCCCCCTCCCTCCCTCCCTCCCTCCCTCCCTTCCTCCCCTATAAGTATAATTTTAACTTTACAGAAGCAGTAGGCTGGGGCAAGTGTGCCTAAGGTGTTTTTAGCAGTGAATGGGACTGGTATTCAGCAGTTCATGAAAGGCAAGGGTGCTATTCAGGGCCAGGCTTCAGGAGGAAGTTCAGGTCCAAGGGAAGCTGTCTGCTTTCTGTTCTCCTTCCTGTCAGGATTTATTCATGGTTTCCAAGACGGAGGATAACAGTTCATGAAAAAAAGGACTTAGCCTTTAATAGCTAAGTTCCTTGTCAAAGCAATGAGGGACTGAGTGATTCTTGTGGGGATTCAATCTCTGGTTGAAGAAGAAAGATGAGCCCACTTTTACTGAGCACCTGCTGTGTACCAGGAACTTCAAAAGCGATCACTTATTGAATCATCACCAAAACTTTAAGAGGTAGTTATCACTGTCCCAGTGTTTAGTGGCTGATCAGCGAAGACTTCTTAATTGAGTTTCAGGGCCCCCTGGTCTGAATCACAGATTCATAGCCCAGGTTTGGTCAAAGGGGTGGTTTCTTAAGAGGACTCACTCCTATATTGTTTTTACCCCCCTCCAAACGTCTACTTCTGACCAGCAGTATACCACAAGGCAAGTGACTCTTATCAAAATGGCGGTAGCGAAGCCACATCCTCTGAGCACTGGCCATAGCCTAGGCAAAGGACATTAGGTGCACAGAGACCCTTCTGTTTGTTGCTAGACAGGGTAGCCTAAAATGATCCCACCTTTATTCTTCATCTCTACCCTTTTGTCGTACACACCCTTTAATAACTCCTAAGTTCTGGACACTCTTAGCCACCATTAAGTATGACAACGACCATACAAATACCTTGACCTTGTCTAAGACTTCCTGACCTCCACACATGCGGTGGAGAGCCAATTTCAAGACTCCAATTTTAGTGGCTGTTCCCAAGTGCTGGGACAATGTCCTCTTCTGCAATTCCCTGAGAATAAAGCAAATGGAATAATTGTCAGAGCTTCGGGGTACAAGCCCCAGCTTGGAGAGCCCCAAGAGACCAGGCATGGCCTCCCAGCCCCAGTATGCCAATTAAAGAGATTAGTGATGGTGAAAAGCAGAGAAGAGAGGTTTAATCAATATCTCTCTCTCTCTCTCTCTCTCTCTCTCTCTCTCTCTCTCTCTCTCTTTCTCTCTCTCTCTTGGGGTACCGACATGAGCTTTAGGTTCAAACAGAGGTAGAAATGGGATAGGGACAAGAGCAGTGCATACTGAGGCAGTCTCAGTCAAGGTGTGGTTCCGGTAACCATGGCCTTGGTTCTGGTCTCACAAAGTGGCTTCATGCTGATTCTCAGGAGTTGTGTGCTCCGGCTCCAAGGTACAGCCTTGTCATCATGAACAACTGCCCTCATACACGTGATGGGTCGCTCCTGAGAGGCCTGGATGTTCCTAGAATCTAAGGTGACTGCAGGTTTGGGACAGATCTTTAGGTACCTCATAGAGAGCTTGACCAGAACATTCTAAAAATCCAACAGTAAGATGCCTCTGCTACTGTGGTATTTGCCACCAGCCTTGGTGAGAAAAAGATAGGTTAAGGACAGTCCGTGGTTAACAAGCCTATGTGCGGAAATGTGCAGGTGGCCCAAAGTAAAGGAGACGGTAAAGTGAAGGGAAAGATTCCAGGTTTTCATCCTGCTTTTTAATGACTTTGCACCAAGTAAGGAGTGAGGTTTTTGCTTTGTTTTGTTTGTTTGTTTGTTTTTTAGCAAATGCAGCCCCTAAAGCCTGTTAGATTGTAATTCAGTGTGCTATGTCATGAGGACTTCCAGTTTGAATGGATCCTGGTGCCCGTTGTACAAGGAGAAGTACATACAACAGTCCTCTAATGTGTTCTTTGATCTTAGAGGACTTAACTTCATCTCCCAGGGAGTGTAGGGATGTTCACATGCAAAGAAGTCATCTGTATTCCCCATAGTTCAAGATAAGGGCAGCATCAAATATGCAGAGCAATTGTGTGTGTGTGTGTGTGTGTGTGTGTGTGT